TATTGTTATATATGAAGTTAGTTTCTTACAGTGTATAGTTGGGACATGGTTTTTATAGCCAAGGCGGGCAGATTGCTTGAGCCCAGGAGTTAGAGACCAGCCTGGGCAACATGGCGAAACCCCGTCTCTACAAAAAATACAAAAATTAGCCAGGCATGGTAATGCACATCTGTAGTCCCAGCTACTCAGGAGGCTGAGCGGGGAGGATGGCTTGAGCCCAGGTGGCAGGGGTTGCAACGAGCTGAGAGCATGCCACTGCACTCCAGCCTGGCAACAGAGCAAGACCCTGTCTTAAAAACAAAAAAAAGCAACCCCCCCCTAAAATAAAACAAAACACAAAAACAATATTGTCAGGTTTAAAGAAAGGGATCAAAATCTTATATTATGCAACCATTAACCAAAAGAAAACGAGTCTAAATTGATATGTATTAAGTTTATAAAATAGACTTTAGAGCAAAGAAAATTACCAGAGGGTCTTTGAAAAAAAAAAAAACTATAAAATCGACAAACCTTTAGCAAGACTGACCAAAAAAGAAAGAAGTCACAAATTACCAATGTCAAAAACAAAACAGTAGATATCACTAACAGACCCTGCAGATAACAAAATAGTAAGGAAATACTAGGAACAACTCCTACACACATAAGTTTGACAATTCAGACAAAATGAACCAGTTCCTTGAAAAACACAAAGTACCACAACTCATCCAATATGACAGAGATAATTTGAATAGCCCCATAGCTATTAAAGAATTGAATTCGTAATTTTAAAACTTACACCCCCCCCCAAAAAAAAAATCTTCAGGCCTAGATGGTTTCACTAGAAAATTCTAACAAATGTTTAAAGAAGAATTAACAGGACTTCTACAAAATCTCTTCCAGAAAATCAGAGAAGAGGGGGATACTTCCCAATGCATTTCATGAAGCTAGCATTACACAGATACCAACTCCAGATAAAGATAGTGCAAAAAAAGAAAACTCAAAACCATCACGAACATAGATACAATAAAAAAATCCTTAGCACGATATTAGCAAATAGAATTCAGCAACATATAAAAAGGATTTTTTTCAGTGACTTTTTATGACATGACTATATGGGGCTTATTTCAAAAATGCAAGGCTTATTCAAAAATCAATTGATGTAATCTGCCATTAGTAATAGGCTAAAGAAGAAAAGTCATGTTAATTGATGCAGAAAATTTTTTTCAAAAATTCAACACCCATTCATGATTTTTAAAAAATTCTCAGAAAAATATGAATAGAGGCCGGGCGCGGTGGCTCAAGCCTGTAATCCCAGCACTTTGGGAGGCCGAGGCGGGTGGATCACGAGGTCAGGAGATCGAGACTATCCTGGCTAACATGGTGAAACCCCGTCTCTACTAAAAATACAAAAAACTAGCCGGGCGTGGTGGCGGGCGCCTGTAGTCTCAGCTACTTGGGAGGCTGAGGCGGGAGAATGGCATGAACCCGGGAGGCGGAGCTTGCAGTGAGCTGAGATCGGGCCACAGCACTCCAGCCTGGGAGCACAGCGAAAAAAAAAAAAAAAAAAAAGAAAAATATGAATAGAGAGGAATTGCCTCAACTTGATAAAGAGCATCTACAAAAGACCTATAGCTAACATTATGCTTCATGATGAGATACTCAATGTTTACTCGTCAAGATCAGAAACTAGGTAAAGATGCCCACCCTCCCCACTCTTAAATCAACATAGCACTGTAAGTTCTAACCATTACATTGAGGCAAGAAAAGGAACTAAAAGACACACGGATGAGAAAGAAAGAAATAAAACTGTCCCCATTTGCAAGTGATATGGCTGTCTATAGAGATCCCAAGGAATCTACCCAAAAAACCTCCAGGTATGACCTGGACATTTTTCCTTCCAAATGTCATGTTAAAATGTGTTCTCCAATGTTACAGGTGGGACCTAGTGGGAGGTGTTTGGATCATGGAGATGGATCCCTCATGAATGGCTTGGTGTTGCCCTTGTGGTAATGAGTGAATTCTCATTCTATTAGTTTATGCAAGAGCTGACTGTTTAAAATAGCCTAGCATCTCTCTTGCTCCTTCTTACGATATAACATGACTTCTGTCCCTTAGTCTTCTGCTATGAGTAAAAGCTTCCTGAGGCCTCACCAGAAGCCAAGCAGATGCTGATGCTATGCTTGTACAGTCTGCAGAATGATGAGCCAAATAAACATCTTTTCTTTATATTACCCAGCCTCAGATGTTCCTTCTGCAAAACAGACTAATACACCTCTTAAAACTAGTGAGTTCAGTGGGGCATGGTGGCTCACACCTGTAATCCCAGCACTTCAGGAGACTGAGGCAGGTGGATCACCTAAGGTCAGGAGTTCGAGACCAGCCTGACCAATATGGTGAAACCCTGTCTCTACTAAAAATATGAAAGTTAGTTGGGCATGGTGGCATGCGCCTGTAGTCCCAGTTCCTCTGGAGGCTGAGACAGGAGAACTACTCGAACCTGGAAGGTGGAGGTTGCACCACTGGGAGCCAAGATCGCACCACTGGGAGCCAAGATCGCACCACTGCACTCCAGCCTGGGTGACAGAGCGAGACTCAATCCCCCACAAAAAAATTTAAAATAAAATAAAACTAGTGAGTTCAGCGAGGTTGCAGGCAACACAAACTTATAAAAAATCAACTGTATTTCCATAAACTAAGAGTGAACACTAAAGTTAAAAAATATAACACCATTTACTGTTGCTTAAAGAATGAAATACAGTCCTGCATCACATTAATGAAGTTTTGGTCAATGACAGCCATGTTGCATAAATGAGATCACAATATGCAACCTTTTGTGATTGGGTACATGAATATTTATAGTAGCTATATTCGCAATAGCCCAAAACTGGAAACAATTCATATGTCCCTCAAAGAGTAAATGTTTAAACAAACTGTAGTACCTCTATACCATGTAATACTACTCAGCAACAAAAAAAGAACAAACTGTTGATACACAAGGCAATTCCAGAGGATTATTCTGAATTTAAAAACCCAATCCCAAAAGGTTGCATATTGTATGATTTCATTTATACAATATTCTTGAAATGACAAAATTACAGAAATAGGGAATAAATTAGTAGTTTTCAGAGGTTAAGGAAGGACTGGGGTGAGAAAGAAAGTTATCGTAGCTAAAAAATAGCAACATGAGAAATCCTTATGATGATGCAAATGTTCTGTATCTTGACTCTATCAATGTCGACATCCTGGTTGTGATATTGTACTACAGTTTTGCATGATGTCATCATTGGGGAAACTAGTTAAATGGAACATGGGAACTCTGCATTATTTCTTGTGACTATGTATAAATTTAAAATTATCTCCAAAAAAAGTCTAATTAAAAATACATTTTAATGCATAACCATCCTCCTGAATCATAATCTGCCATTAAATCTTGAGAAATATTGATCTAAAAGTTCAACCAGTATATTAGGGGAAATATCCTCTTTCTCATGAGGAACAGCTGAAGGGACAGAAAATGTTTTATCTTGGGAAATCCTAAAGAAAATTATGAGAGTTTTCTTTTTCCGGAATACGAAGGGATTACACACATGAAATTAAACTTGGTGTGCTGCCAGTAAACAGAACACAGGCTGACGTACAAGAAAATGCACAAGCTTCAGGACTAACTAAGCATGGGTTTAAACCCAAGCTCCACCATGCCCTATTTTTAAGACTAGACAAGTTAGTTAACCTCCCCGACCTCCCATTTCCTCATCTTTAAAACAAGGCTAATGATTCCCACCTCAATCCATCAATCAGCATCTAAGTAAAGAAATAGACACTGCTTCAGTATTTCCAACAGAAGGAATTTAATGCAAGGAATTGGTGGCAGTGGTGAAGATAGAAATATAGGTTATAGGTGATAGAAAAGCTGAGATTTGAAGATTATTGCGATAGACAGTCAAGAGTATAAAGATCTTCCTAAGTTCATATAACCTTGCATACTTACTAAGGATCAGGCAAAATGTGAAAAGTAAAAAATTAAACAATTTTAAAAAATGAAAAATAAAGAAAATTAAGTTTGACTTTAAAAAGATAAAATTAGTTGGAGTAAGGTCTTGGGATGGGGTCATGAAAAAATCAGATATTAGCAATAGTAAGCAGTGCGTAATTGAAGGCATAAAGGTAGGAGGCAATGTTGCCAGAGCCCAGGAGCCAGAGTCACCAGGAAGAATCAGGAACCATGGAGGACACAAATAGTGGGAGCTGGAGCCATAGAGGAGATGCAGACACTGCTGGCAAGGATGATTTAAGATGGGAGAGAGGGAAGAAATTATCTGGTTTCCTCTTTTCACTACCTTGCAAACTTCCAAGGGTGCAGCAACTTTCCTCTAGCAGGAAGTCATAGATATGGAGCTTGGGGAAGACAGCCTTCCAGGTCAGCCCCTGCTATCAAGGGCAGAGCAGGAATCAGAAGCTAGACACACCTAGGTGTGGCCCACTCACAGGGTGTTTGTGAGGATGCAGGGCTTGTAAGATACCTGGCACAGAGTAATAGGTGCTCAAGAAATGGCAATTATTATTTTTCAGTGCCAATGTCGCATGATGACATTTAGAGCCACATTTTCTCATCATTTCATATCTGAATAGACGGAAGCACAAGCTGGGGCTCATGCCATGTAGACTTTGCCAAGAGTACTTATTTTTTCCAAATGAGCAGCACATCTGAGAAATGTGAAAAGCAGGCCTGTCCTAAAGTTTCATTGTATAAAGCAAATGTTGAGTTTCCACAGCTGCTGGCTTCAGCCTACCCAGAGGAATAGTTTTCATGAAATATTAATCTCGGAGAAAGCCACACTGGGGTAAGCTTGCACAGTAATTCAAGCAGCATGTGCAAAATTTATTTAGCGTTTGGCTGGGCATGGTTTTAATTATGTGAAGTCTTCAGAATGAGAAGAAAGTGATTGAAGATGTTTAACTAAGTCAGTCATGGAGGCTGTGGATGCTCTAAGATTCTCTCCAGCTTTGGTTTATTTCTGCAGTCCCCAAACTATAAATACAAAGGAAGCTCCCATGGAATCAGATGATGGCACTGTAAGAATCAAGGTGCAGCTAGCAGTAAAAACAGAAGACACCAACACCTGCAGTCCAGAGAACTCCAGTGTAACATAAAGGCGGGTATCTATTCATGGTTCCCTACAACCAAGGTAGGGACAGAAAGGTGAGAATCCACAGGACTGTCCAAAACCTGGGAAGCAGCATGCAAGACGCTTTCATCAAAGGTCCCGAGTGAGTACAAGATGCAGAGTGTGTTGTGTACCTGATGGACATCTCATACTTCCTGGGAGTCACTGGCATGGTGTGATGTTGAACGTGAGGTAGCATCTGGAAGTGCAGAGAGGGCCAGGACCCCTCCCTGAGGACAACACAGGCATGGGGATGGACTGGGCCTTGCATACAGTAGAGCTGAGCCAACCTGCAGGGTTTTAAAACTGTCAACAACCAGCAGCCACAAAATGTCCCCTTGGCTGATGGAACAGATAGAAAACTCAGAAGTTATTTTTAAAGACTGGTTTTCAGACTCTAGGTTCTGTTCATAAATATTAGGGCCCTAGCACCAGCCTGGGGGGAGAGGTTTCTATCCCAAGAGGGACTATACGAGTTGGAACCTCAGAAAGGGACCACTAATTTTCAGAGATAATCAAAAGCTAGTCCTGTGAGGTAAGACATAGGAGATGGAGATGGGCAAGGAGGTTCTCATGATCAGTCCACAGAATTGATGCCCTAATCTCTATGCCCTCACGGGGGTCAGGGAGACCTGCTGAGTTATTTACTGCCTCAAGTAAGATAAGTCTGGGCATCAAGGTGGGCTGGTCCTAGCTAGGAGGAGTGGAGGAGGAAGCTAGACTGTGCTGACCTGGAGTCCAGAACACTGAGGTTATTGGGGGAGGAGTCTCCACTTGCGCTTCCCAGAGATCCCTCCAGTTCAACATGTTCTAAGTTCATTCCCCCAGCTCACCTGCCTCCTCTTTTCTGTACAGTGTTCATAGTATCCTGAGGATTCCAGTCACACAGGCTCAAACCTGAGAATCATCCTGGACCCTTCCTCTCCCTTGCCCTGAAAATCCTACCTCCTATCCTTTCTAACCCTCCATCCCCACTGTCACTCCCCTAATTCAGAAACTTCTCTCCTTTCTTCCCCCCTCCACCCCATCTCATATAGTGGTGTGATATGATTCAGCTCTGTGTCCCCACCCAAATCTCATCTTGTATTTCCCATAATCCCCATGTGTTATGGGAGGGACCCGGTGGGAGATGATTGAATCATGGGGGTGGGTCTTTCCCATGCTGTTCTTGCAATAGTGAATGGGTCTCACGAGATCTGATGATTTTAAAAATGGGAGTTTCTCTGCACAAGCCCGCTCTTTGCCTGCTGCCATCCACGTAAGATGTGACTTGCTCCTCCTTGCCTTCTGCCATGACTGTGAGGCCTCCCCAGCCACGTGGAACTATAAGTTCAATGAACCTCTTCCTTTTGTAAATTGCCCAGTCTCTAGTATGTCTTTATCAACAGTGTGAAAACGGACTAATACATGGTGCCAGGCTGAGCATTTGGAAACAGTGTTCTAACAATGCCACTCATCTGTTCCAAAATTGCCAAAGGATCCACACTGCCTAGAGTGAAATTCAAACGTGAGTCTGTAAATCAAAGCGCTTCACGAGTTCTTACCAACCTACCTTTCCATCACAGCCCAACATCAGGCAAACAGAACCACTCTCTTCTCTGTTCATTTCCCACTTGGTTCTACTTCTGGGTTTAGCTCTGCTTGGCATGTGTTTTCCTGCATCACTGCATTTCCGAGTCTTACCCACCCTTCAAAGTTCACGTCACATCACCACCTGCAAGAACATTCTCTGATCCTCTCCTGCATGCATAATCACTCCCTCTTTTGGACTCCTGCAACCCTGTGTGCCACTCTTTCGCATTGAGTAAAAGTATGTGCTTTTCATATGTTTCCATTGGGCGATAAGCTCTTTGAAAATAAGGGCCTTACATCAGATTCACCCTTCATAGAGAAGACGTAGGGAGACCCAAGAACTTTGAGTTTGGCTGGTTTATAGGAAATGTAACAAAGTTTGGGGGAATAATTTTGGAAAGGTAGGTTGGAATCATATTGTGACTTCAGGGTAATAGTTAAAAGTGCTTGGGAGTCATCTGCAGAAGTATGAAGCTAGATGAGGCAATCCTGAGAAAAAATATCAAATGTGAAGAGCAAGTGCCCATCCCTGGAACCACAGGAAACACTACCCTGCAAGTGTCCACTGGAAAATAAAAACATCATAGAGACTGGCAGGAAATGGCTGTATAGAATGGAAGTCAATCACAACATCCACACCACATTGGGCATAAAAAGAATTTCAGCCCTGTTGGTCAACCACAATACATGCACTTGAATAATTCTGACCGAATCCTGTATGGCTTTTTTCTCTAGAATTGCAAATAGGGAAGACCATGCTGACAGACTTGTGGATCCTTAATTCAGGGTATTTTAAAAGGCAATCACTTGCCAACATTCTATGCCTAATCAGTGGGGCCTCCCGAGCCCAGTACACTGGAGGCATCTACAGATGTGGAGAACTCGCAGAAGTAAGGCCTGACCAAGGAACACACAAATGGGAACAAGGAGCATTCCGGGTCATCTGATTTGTTTCTGTGTTGGCTTCCCAGTCCCAAAAGTGACTTCTAAGGTCATTACAATTATTAAAACGAGAGAACAAGCACAGGGACTCTGAGAAAGTCAGCAGGAAGTGAGTGGCAAAACAAAACAAAACAAAACAAAAACCTTGACCTGGAAGTCTGGAAGCCCAGAGCAGTACCCCTGCCCTACCCCGCAAGGAGCTGGAGGGGAGAGAAATTCTGAGTGGGAAGTGTGCCAGCCTCCCTGGGTGGGACCTGTGTGGCTTCTTAGGGAAGTGGGCGGCTTCTACCTGAGACCTTCCTAATCATTCCTTGCCAGGGGAACTAGTCCCACAACCACATAGGACTTACCCTGTGTCAATTCAATTTAATTCAGCACAGACAAACTGCTGAGCTCCCCGGAGGTGAAATCCCTGACCTGAGCAGATGTTTACCTGATCAAAACAGGGAGTTCTTCCCAAGCCAGCCCTGATAAAGGTGCCACCTGAGACCCCAATTTTCTTACACCTTACTCTAATACAACGGAGGTCAACTTATTCATTTCAAGGGTTCTAGAAATGTTTGATTCAAACTATATTTTAAAAATATTTTTAAAATGGTAAACATAGACAAGTGTGTGATACCAAATGTGAACAATCATGTGAACCCCAGCGGTTCACATGAGCCACAGGCTATAATATACTCATGTCCGCTTCAGAATAAAGGTTCTTCTGCCAAAACCATGACTATGTTGGAACACATGTAGATGTGTCATTAATTGGGAAAGCTGTAGTTCCAAAAAGATCTTTCAACAGTTCAGATCCATGCAAGTATTCTGATGCTGTAAAATTGTATGAGCAAGTATACTACCATCACCCCGGCCCCCTAACGCCATGCTCGATTAAAGGCCAGGAAGGACTCAGGGACTTCCTTGGAATGTATGCTCTTATAAAGACATAATACTAAACTATACAGTAGTATGTGACCACATAACATGTTGTACCATGGTAAGTATTGCCAGTAGCATTATTATTAGTATTACCAGTAGCATGCTTATTTTGATCTTAGACTGATCTTAGACTGATTGGCAGACATTTAAAAATCTGAACAAGACCAACAGCAATGCAGGGCCATTCTATTACTGCTTCTCTTGTGGCCGATAGTGTCAATGATGAAACTGACAACTGAAGTTTGAGCTCATAATGCCAGATTAAGCATGTTTTGCTGTGTTAAAGGCTTTAAGTGATTACTACAGAGAAACAAACACTGGAGTTTCTGAAAAAAAATTAATAACATAATTAACTTCTCACCATGATATGACACAATTTTGGGAAGAATTTTCTGCCAAAGATATAAATTGGTGAATCTAAGTGAAAGAATCTGTTCCTTTGCATTAGACCTCTTATAATTAAACAATTGTTACATAGTGTTAGTGAGTCAACATTAAAACCAATTCCTATATTTTTCATGTTTCTAGATCATTGAAATCAGAATAGCCTGAATCTGTAAGTTATCCTGTTTAAAAGTGCTATAATTTCCAATATCTAGTTGTTGCACATTGTACAACCAATATAAAATACAGGGGTGTACTTGATAGTGAGAATCTCATGAGGCTGCAATGTTCATCCCAAAACCTCAATTTCAAATTTTCATAACATTCTCATTGTTTTCATTAACTGTATGTTAAAAACTAAATTTATCAAACTAATATAAATAACAAAATGTCGGTTTGCTCTGTTATACTCATTGATATTCCACATAAGATTTCATTGAAGAGTTTTAACGCTGAAAAGTTTCCAAAAATCACTGTAACATTTAATATATAGGAAAAACCCAAAATATGAAGCAGGAAAAGATGTAAGAAACAGACCTTTTTGGTTAGAAAAGCAGAAGTAGAAAAGGGTGAGGGTAATTCAACCACAACTCCAGATACAGGCTTAAGAATTTTAAAAAAATGCTTTCTGAATTAATCAATGAAGCAGAAATAGTGTGTCCCTTGCTCCTGGAATTGGGAGAGGGGAAACTTTGGGACTGGAGAAACAGAGAAGGTAGTAGAGGAAGTTTTGCTTTCTCGATGAGAACCATCTTCCTATAGGCAAATAAGGCTTCTCTGTGGGAAGCAGGGCAGACCAAAGAGATGATGGTCAGTGGGGAGCCAAGTGTAGCCACTGATCATTAGGGCCAGCATAACTGAGGTGTCAGCACAACGGAAAGGAGGCCTTGAGCAGTGAGGTTTCTGGACTTGTGGTAGAGAAAAAGTGGTGACCAGACATGTGATTCCCGGGAAGGAGGTTAAAGGGAAAGTGCAGCCTTGGAGGGCAGAAGCAAAGCACAGGACACAGAAATCATTCATTCACTCATTAATTGATGACGCTCCTATTAATACAGGCATTTGATTGGACACTGCAGTTACAAAGATGAATAAGCCTCAGTCAGTGTCTCCTAGGGGGAGGAGAGGTTGTTACCAAGGAAAAGCCCAAGGAGCTACAAGGATGGCAGAGGAAGGGGTCATAGCTTCCTGGAAGAGGTACCCCCAGAGGTCAGTCTCAAAGCAGAAGCAGGAGGTAATCAAGCAGATAATAGCTGAGAATGGGGGAGGAGGAGCACCTCTCAACTCAAAGAGCATTCCTGGAGAAAGACACAATTTGAGAGAGAGAATTGTATAGCTGGGGAAGAGCAAGTGGACGAAAATGAGTGAGGCACAAAGTGAAAGGAAGGGAAAGTGAGAGAGGAACCTGTTGAGGGGGCTGGGGCCAGGTCATGGGAGGCCTGGTGTGTTCTGCAAGGCAGCTCAGACTCTCTCCTAGCAGCAGTAGGGAGCCACTGAGGATGCTAAGCTCGGAAGCTACACTCACGCTTCCCTATTCAATTTCTCCACGCTATTTGCTTGTGTGACCTCCCATAAGCATTCGCCAAGAGCAGGAACTAGTTTTTCATCTTTTCACCTTTATGTCCTTGGAGCTTAGCATAGTCCCCAGAATGCAACAGGAACTTAGCACTTATTGTTATATGAACTAATGAATGAACGAGCAAAGTGCTAAGTAGGGAAAGAAGAGGCTGGGGGGGAGAAATGCAGTGAGTGAAGATGAGAGAACACTGTCAAATACACAGGCTAAGGAAATCTGAAATGTAGTAATAAAAGTATATGTAAATATAGACAAAATCTTCATGTGCCAAGCAGCGTATACAGGAAGTGGATGGAAAAACTGACCACAGATGAAGATACCTTGGAGAAGGAACTGGATTGAGATCCACTCAGGGACCTTGGTCAGAGGAAGCTCCTGAATTCTTCTTGGGAAAGGGTCATGTTAGGGTTGAATTGTGTCTTTCCCCCTAAAAATATGGGGAACTCCTAACTTCCAACACCTCAAAATGTGTCCTTATTTGGAAATAAGGTCTTTACAGATTTAATCAAATTAAGACAAAGGCATTAAGGCAGGCCTCAACCCAATATAACTCGTGTGCTTATAAAAAGGAAATTTGATCACAGACACACAAACAGCAAAGATGATGTGAAAAGACACAGAAGACAGCCATCAATAGGCAAAAAAACACCTAAGGTTACCAGAAACCATGGGAGAAGCCTCAGACAGATCTTTCCCTAGAGCCTTCAGAGAGGGCGTGGCCCTGCTGACATCTTGATTTTGGCCTTCTGGCCTCCAGAACCATGAGACGATACATTTCTACTATTCTAAGCCACCCACTTTGTGATATTTTATTATAGGAACCCTAGGAAATGCATATAGTTTGGCAGTTAAAACAGATTAACACTTGCAGTCGACTTTGGTATTTGTCTTCCCTACGTGCATTCCCTTGTCCTCCTTGCTGGATGGGTCTTAGAAGGAACAGAGGGAAAAGAAGGGAGCTGCACAGGCTCATGGATGGGGCTTCTTGGCACCTACTGGGTGAGGGGAAAAGATTCTGCATCTCAGGAATGGTACAGGCTTTGACACCAGACCTGGTTAAATCTTAGCTCCGTTTACCAGCTATATGGCTTTAGGCGAATGACTTGCAATTTTCAAACTTCAGTTTGAAATAGGAAATACAACTTAACATTATAAAGAATTCTTAAGAATTATGCTTAACAAGGAGATAATCTATGTAATGCACCAAGCATGATGTCTAGTGACCAGCAGGTGACCTCCCAGATGTGCGCATGATTCTGAGTCACACACCCAGAATACCCAAGATATTTTTTTCCTTCTCTGGAAGAATCAGTCTACTGAGCATAAAAGAAACAACTAGACATGTTCTCATCAAATTGGTCTGCAGTCCTGTCATTTTTACTTTGGAGCACACCACAAACCATTTCTCCCCATCGTCCCTTCCTT